TGGCTTTTTCATAGGGCCATCAGCTGTAGCCAGGATGCTGTGACGCAATGCTGTTGTTTCTCTGCATTGTCTTTGATAAAAAATTGTAATGGTCAATACTTAAGCATTTGCTTAAATAAATAAAAGTATTCTACCTTTGCTTTAATTTGTTCCACAATTTGCCTAGTTTTTCGAAGTCCTTGGTGTATTTACCTCAGGCTGGCAGTTGTATGTACTTGTAATGTACTCTCAAATTTTCTTCTTTTTTTTCATTATGTGTATTTTTTATTTTCTACCATATTATTATCTGTTACCAGCTAGCTTAAAAGTACAATATTTTCTTTAGTTGAAGACTCTGCATATTTAGTAAAATTTCTGCTCACGTAAAAATCACATGAAAAGGGTACTCCTGTTAAGATAGACAAAATGCCCTAACTACCAGAATTCAATTTTTTTCTTTATGTTTTTTTTACGTTCTATGTTTAAAATCGGTGGTTGGGTATCGTTCTCGTTTAATAAGTTTGTCCCAACCACCGATGTCCTGTTTCAAAAACAAACGGAATACCAAAAAGAGCTAAGCACAAGACTAAAATCAATAGAGACCCTGAAACAAATGGATATAAACGGACTAGCCAAGAAAATAAAAGTACCTGTATCAACATCGGCTAAGAAAATATGCTCAAATACGAAAACAGCCAAAACATCTAAACTCCAACCTAATACAATTAAACTACTCCAAGAAAGACGAAAGAGAACAGATCGAACTTCGGACAGCTTTAAAAGTTTAAACAAAAACGTGAAGAAAGAAATCAGGAACGATCATAGAAACCATAATAACAATCTAATAAAAAATATAATACAAGATAACTGCAACATGAAAGTACTCAAAGCAAAAAACTCAAGCGGCACAACAAAAATCATAGAAATAAAAAATGAGAAAAACGTCACCGTCAGAGACAGAAAGGAAATAAGCGAGGCCATTGCAAAAATTCTACACTAAATTATACTCGGTAAATACACAACCACAACAACGACGTACTCATCGAACAATAATTAACACCGGCTCAGAAGAAATACCGGACATAACCGACTATGAAATAAGAATGGCCCTAAATCAACTTAAAACGAATAAATGTCCGGGAGAGGATAAGATTACAGTTGAAATGTTAAAAATTGGTGGCAGAAAAATGGAGCAGGTATTAAATGTTTTATTTAATAAAGTAATTGATGAAGGAAAGATGCCTCAAGAATGGTACAACTCCGAGGTCATTTTACTATTCAAGAAAGGAGACAAAGCAAACATCGAGAATTACTGACCAATATCCTTGCTATCACATCTGTATAAATTACTAACTAAAATCATAACCAACTGCCTAACACATAAACTCGATTTCTATCAACCTATCGAGCAGGCTGGATTCAGAAAACATTTTAATACCATTGACCACTTGCACACCGTAAGAACACTGATAGAAAAATGCACCGAGTATAATGTTCCAATTCATATGGAGTTCGTCAATTTCCATAAAGCATTCGATTCCATCAAATTATGGGCAGTGCTTGCATCTCTAGAAAATGCACGCATAGATTCAAGATACACTAACATAATTAGAAACATATATGAAAATGCCACCATGCATATAAAGCTGGACGAAAGCACAAAAACTAATCCCATAAGACTACAACGGGGAGTAAGACAAGGAGACACTATCTCTCCCAAACTATTTACCCTTGCTCTAGAAGATATTTTTAAGAAACTGGAATGGAACAATAAGGTTATCAACGTCGACGGATCATACTTAAACCACTTGAGATTCGCAGATGACATAGTTTTAATAGCCGATAATATCAAAAAAACTAAATGATATGTTACAAAAATTAAATGCAGTTTCAGGAGCGGTAGGCTTAAAAATGAACTACAGCAAAACAAAAGTACTGAGCCGAGACCAGACAAATATAACAATACAAAATCATACCATAGAAAATGTTGAACATTATGTATATCTAGGTCATGTTATCAAACTAAGAAAACCAAATCAAGATGCTGAAATTAAAAGAAGATCACAACCGGCATGGGGCGCTTTCCGCAAACTAGCACATATCTTGAAACACACCTCCATTCCTACAAATTTAAAGAAAAAGGTGTATAACACATGCATACTACCAGTTTGTACCTACGGCTTGGAGACAGTAGCCTTACCAAAAAATCTGCTAAAAAATTAGAAACAACGCAAAGAGCAATGGAACGAATCATGCTTGGAATATCACTAAGAGACAAGATTAGAAACACCGAGATAAGACGTAGAACGAAGATTAGGGATATTGTGGGAGAAATTACAAAAATGAAATGGTGCTGGGCAGGTCACGTAGCCCGATATAATGACAACAGGTGGACACGGAGAATTCTAGAATGGAGACCAAGGACGACAACAAGAAGCATCAAGCAAGAAGAGGGGAAGACCTCAAAAAAGATGAGTAGATTACATAATAGCAGTGGCAGGCAAACAGTGGATTAGATTGGCGCAAGATAGAGAAAGATGGAAGCAATTGGGAAAGACCTACATTCAGGAGTGGATGGATATAGGTTGACAAATAAGAAGAAGAAGATGTCTAAAATATAAGTCTCAGCGCAATTTTATCCCGCCAACTCCCTCCCCTGAAAAACTTCAATCTTATCTTTTGTTTTTATTTTTTTTTTAGGTGGCATGCAATTAATTTAATAATTTTATGCATCAATTATATTCATAAGTGTTGAATGCTTTCAAGTGGAGGCTTTCAGAAAACTTCTCCTTTTTATAGACCCGTAGGTTGAACGTACATAACCTAAAAATGCATTTTTGTTTTTCGAAAAAAGCATAAAGTTTTTTTTTGGAGGTGGCTGCAAGTCAATTCTTTTTATTTTCTGTATTTGGTTAAAAGCTATATGATTTTTTTCAGATTTTCCGTATGCTTCGCCATCTTAAAAAATTAAAAAAACTTTTTTTTATTGGTTTTGGGCGATTTTCTCCATTTTATAGACTTCAAAATATGTTAAATCAAGGTTTTTTAATAGGTTGTATGTATTTTAAATGACATTTTTACTATATTCAAAAATTGGGTAAACACCTTTAAACTCAACAAATATTATGTTTCTTACGATTTATAAGGGTTTTGACGGGGTTAAACATATTTTTTGACACCATCGACACAACCTGAATCAATTTTCTCGTTTTTTGTGATTAAAAAATAAGACTCAGCGCAATTTGTTTATTTTTATAGACCCGTAGATTGAGTGTACATAACCTAAAAATTCATTTTTTGGAAGATGGCGCACCATACGGAAAAATCTGAAAAAAAAAATCGAGAATTATTTTTTGATCAAATACACAAACTAAAAATTGGACCTGCAGCCATCTCGAAAATAAAAATCTACGCTTTCTTTTTAAATTGCATTTTTAGGTTACACTCAACGGGTTTATAAAAATGGAAAAATTGCGTTGAGTCTTGGTTTTTAATCACATAAAAAGTAAAAATATGAGAGAATTGATTCGACTTGTGTCGATCTCAAAAAATATGATTACCCCCGCCAAAACCGTAAAAACATGGTTTTTGGGGGGTTTAAAGGAATTTCGCCCAATTTTTGAATGTGCTAACGACTTCATTTAATTTAAATTGTATGTAACCTATAAAAAAACTTGATTTGATATATTTTGAAGTCTATAAAATGGAGAAAATACCCCAAACCCACTAAAAAACAGTATTTCTGATTTTTAAAGTTAACGCACTATACTGAAAAATCTGAAAAAATTTGATATAATTTGATCAAATACACAAAATAAAAACAAATGCATTTTTAGGTTATGTACACTCAACGGTCAACCCGGTCAACCACGGGTCTATAAAAATAGATAAATTGCGCCGAGTCTTATTTTCAATCACATAAAAAGAAAAAGTAAAAATATGAGAAAATTAATTCAGGTTGTGTCGATGTCAAAAAATGTGTTTAACTCCATCCTGTTTAAATCCCTAAAAACCGTAGAAAGGGTACCAATTTTAGGGGTTTAAAGGTGTTTACCCAATTTTTGAAAGTAGTAAAGACCTCATTTAGTTTAAAATATATATAACCTATTAAAAACCCGTAAAAAAGTTTCTTGGATTTTTGAAGATAGCGAACCATATAAAAAAATCTGAAAAAATCGGAAATATAGCTTTTCATCAAATACACAAAATAAAAAAATTGACCTGCAGCTACCTTAAAAAAAAGTTATACGCTTTTTTTTCGAAAAGAATGCATTTTTAGGTTATGTACGCTCAACCTACGGGTCTATAAAAATAGATAAGTTTTGTTAAAGCCCTATCTATGCGTGTTAGTTTTTTGATATTTTTAAATTAATTGCATACCTAAAAAAAATCTTTATTCGCTCGAATGTACATTTATTTTTTATAATATTTTACATAACTTAAAATAATTCATTAAAAAATAAAAAAAATTAATACACAACATACTTGCTTTTCAACAAAGCTAAATTTGGCGCTAAAAATATTTAAATAAAAGTTCAATGACAATTATAATAATTGACAGAACCTTCTTTTTATTCGATATCATTCATCACTTAAAATCCTTAATTTTTCGTGCTTGAGATCACTCTTTTACGAGAATAGCTAAAGTATCCTTTATAAAACACGTCAGATTTGAGCATGACCTTGACGTAAGTTCGACTTGGCGGTGTACGTAAGCACGAGCGTGAGTACATACACTAATAATCTGTTGTACTATGAATCGTTCGTTGTTATTTTTTTCAGTCTTTGTCAATCGAAGAGAGAACTTAAATAGTTGCATTTAATTCAACATTTGGAGATCGAAATTAAAAAATTAATTAATACAAAATATTTCTACTTTTGGTCCTCAAATATTAATCTTTGGCAATTTCCCATGTGTAATGGAAATAACTATTTAATGGAGTTTTCCATTTATATCACATTTTTTTTAATGATCCCGATTACAATTTTATTTATTACCTAATTATAATTATTTGTTTTAGTAATTTTCAAAACGATGTTCCGACCGAAAAGATCGGTAAAGAAAATAGCAATAATCGAAAGTGATGAAAGCAGTGAAGATGAATTACCAATTAAGAAATCCAAGGTATCTCCTCACAAAAATGTTGATCACCCCGTAACAGATAAACAAAATAGCAATAATCCCTCTTCCAGTGAAAGTGATATTGAAAACTATCTCCAACCCATTGACAAACTAGATTTATCTTCAGATTTTTTTAATCTCAGGAAAGACGGCAATAATGATGAATTTACCAAAATTGAAAAAAGTATTTTTGAAAGGGTAGGTACATCGAGGTTGTCAGATTCAGACTCCGACTTAGATGATTTACAAGCTTCAACAAGTAAACTATACACGCAAGAAACAACTGAACTTCAAAAACTAAATTTTAAACAGTTAGAAGACTTTAAGAAAAATATCGAGGAAGCTAAATTAATTGTTGAAAAATATAATGCTAAAAAGAAGATTGAAGAAAAAAACGTTGACATATCAAATATTCTAGCCTCAGGTGAATTTAAACAGTTAATTTTGGAAAATATAAGGGAAGACGATTTCCATTCAAGTGATTTTGAAACCACAGATGGGGAAGACTGGGAAGAAGTTAAATTAAAAAATCAGGAGGAAAAATCGTTGATACCTAAAAAAGAGATTGAAATAAGAATAGGCGCTATGCCGGAACATTGTAGAAATAAGAAAGGTACTGATTTAATTGCTGCCATGAAAAGAAGGCTTAACAGAATGCGTAAAGAAAATCAAATTTATGTTCATAAAGTGCATTTATTATGCTGGATTGCTCACGGAAATTTTGTTAACTCGGTAATATCTAGTTCAGATATTTTAAGTATAGCGTTATCTTTATTACCATCTGACAAATGTTATCCTTCTGATCGCGTAGATCTAAGTTATCTTGAACAAATTGTTCAGTGGTACAAAAGAACAATAAAACTAAAAGAAAAGTGTCCTGTGCAACAGCTGACTTTAAAAAAAAGTTTAAATCTACAGATGATGAAGAAGGAATCATATGACAAGAAAATGTATGTTTTAATTTTCATTGCAATTTTAAGATCATTGGGAATACAATGCCGAATGGTACTCTCATTACAAGTTGAACCTTTACGTCCCCCTTCTAATGAATTACATTCTTTATCTACGAAAGAATCCACCAACAAGTTATCAAATAGCAAAACAGGTCATTTGAATAAGCCTCATAATAAAACCAATATCAAATCAGAAGACAGAATCAAACAGATCAACAGTGAAATGGATGTTAAACTTAAAAATGGCAAAGCAGGGATTCAGAAAGGCAGTAAAATTGAAAAATTATGTAAAGAGACGGCTACTAAAGACACTAGTCAGAAAAAAGACCAAGACGGGAATAAAGAACCTCCAGAGGGTAGTAGAAATTCGTTTTCTGGGAAAAATAAAACACCATCGAAGGTAGCACAAATATTAAACAGTAAACAAAAATACGTAATAGATCCAAAGACTAATAAAATGAAACAGAAAGTTGGAGAAATTAAAATAAATAATAGAAAAGATACCAAAAATAACACAAAGGATAATAATGCACGAACTTTATCAAAAATGTCAAATAAGGAGACAGTACAGGCAATTAAAAAAAATAAATCTAGTAAAAATAGTAACAAAATATCTTTAAAGGTAGAAAAGAAAGCTCGGTCTAAAAGTTCAGTTACTGAGAATAAAGAATCCCTAGAAACAAAAATAACTCAGCCTATACCTACAACTTTAGTTTCAAATATGCGCTCAATGACAAGGAGTAGATTAGGCACAAAAAAAAATATTCCACAGTTGGATGGAGCTAACGACGAAATCTCAAAAACAGTATCGAATACTCGGCAACCTAATTTACGAAACCTGAAAAATAAATTCAATGCGGAGATCGATTTAGTCAAGGACTCCACTAGGCGTTTAAAAATAAATAATGATGGTGATTCAGAAAATGAATTCGAAAGTTCGTTGAAGAAATCTCCAATCAAGAAGCCCAATTTTGCAAACTTAAGTCAGCCACCAACAACGTCAAAACTCAGTAATCCGTTCGATGTTAAAAATGATATAATAAATTTAATAAAAGGCAGAATACGTGAACAAAAGCATACGGATAGAAATAAAATGACGAAAAAAAGAAAATCACAAAATTATGACAGCAGTTCAGATAGTGACTACATGCCAACGTCCATTAAAAAGAAACATCACGACAGCGATAGCGATATCGAATATTTTGTTCCTAAACCCAAAATAAAAAAGAGAGTAAAGGTGAAGAGAGTAGCACCTGGTCAACCGATACTATCAGATAGTGGCGAAGAAAGCAAAAACAAAAAAGGGAATGATATTTGGCTTGAAGTATATTTGGAAAACGAAGAAAAGTGGATAACAGCAGATGTTATTCGAGGTCAAGTGCACTGTGTAAATGAACTGTATGTAAGTACGATTGTATTTTATAAATCTGATAGGATATAAGTTCTTTCTTTGTAGACCAGTGTATCTGTTTTGGGATACGTAAATCGTATATGATCGTATATGATTGTGAAGACAAAAAGTTTTGCAATTACTTTTGCTACAGGAAATAATTTTGTTCTGAAGCTATTTTCTTGTGGCATTGTATATTAATTACTATTTAAACTGGGATAAACCACAATTAAAGATAAAATACGTTTATTGACGTTTCAATTTCCAATTCGGAAATCGTTCTCAAAATACAAACAGTTAATTAAACAAATTTTGTTTAATTTAATAATGCAATTTCATTTAAATCGTCTACTTTAAAATGCATAATGTATGCTGAATTGTCAATATAAATGAGTCAGATTAAATTAAATTATTAGAAGAATTTTTTTCACTATGTAACAAAAAACAAAATTTGTTTAATTTACTGTTTGTATTTTGAGAACGATTTCCGAATTGAAATTGAAACGTCAATAAACGTATTTTTATCTTTAATTGTGGTTTATTCCCAGTTATAAATAGTAATTAGGAAATAATTTATTGCAAATTGAAAAAATAATTATTATTGCAAAATTAGCAAAAACCAATAAAAAAGGGTAAAAAATTCATGTGTTCAGCAATCTTTGTCAGATATTTAAAAGCAACATGGAACCCTTAAAATTTACCAAAAAATATTTTCAAAATAAGACAATGAAATCGGTTATATAGGAGAGCCTAGTGACTTTTTTTAACAACTGCAGTTTTTAAGCTAATAAACAAATATAATAACTTTTTCAATTTTCTATTACAATAAATATTTATAAAATGCTTAGATTCGAATAGATTTTACAGTAGTATCTTCTAGAAATATTTAATTTCTTATTTTTGTATTTAACACAAAAAAAATCCGGTAGCGTTTCTAGAACCAATTAATATCTTTAAATTATTACAAAATTAACCTCTGATGAGCTATCCAAGGTATGCGCAACATTTTTCTCCAATACCACATCCCAAAGTATGTGAAGAGTCCAAGTCTCCGTATAAGTGTATTAACAGTCTCATCTTGATTTTTTGAGAGATAGATTAGTATTTCCAAACTTTAGTTAAGCGACTTTAGCTAAGCGCATTTTTTACCATACCAATGCCTCGTCCAACTTGTGCTTCCCAGCTACCATCGTTAGTTATACTAGATCTGAGATAGTTAAAGCTTAGCGTTAAATCTGTCTACTACCATTATTTTCCTCTTTCGTCTTTATTATTTTTAAGGCCAACTTTAATGCTTTCGCATTCAACTCTTCGCATGAGATTTAGCATTTCTTGTTTACTTGCTGCTATAGGTTTAGTGTCATCAGCAAATCTTAAATTGGAGATTTTTCTACCAGTCTCCGCTACTCCATCGACCCATCCTTCTAAAGCCTTCCTCATATGTTCAATATAAATATTGAATATGTTTGGCAACAAAACGCATCCCTGTTTAACCCCCTCTCTGCTCTGAACTGGCTTGAGAACTTCGGTTATAGTCATATTGCTGCCATATTAGACTGGTACAAATTTTTAAGTGTTACTAGATGTATCAGTGCACCCATATGTACTAAAATGGACCAAATATTATTTATCCAACCTCGCAGTCGAACACCTTCATGTAGTCCACAAAGCTTATTATCAAAGGCGCTTGATATTCTCTCGACTTTTCAATGAGTTGACACAGGTTTCAGATTTGCTCACGTATACCTTTTTCCTTTTAAAAACCCCGCTCATTCAAGCGGTATTTAATAATGTGGGTAAGTTTTTATTCTGTTTTTGATGATATGCAACAAGATTTTACTGGCATGTGTTATTAGTGACAATGTGCGATAGTTTTCATATCTGATAGTGGCTCCTTTTTTGTGTAATGGAATATAAATTGAGGTAAACCAATCAGATGGTCATTTTCCCGAATTCCAAATATCGATACAGATAGAATAACCAACATGTATCCTCTGTCAACTAGTGATTACAGCTTTTCTCCTGATATTGTGTCAATGCCTGGGGATTTATTTCTCTTTGTCAATTTAATGGGATATTTTACTTCAGAGAGCAAGATAGTAGGTTCTCTAGGGTAGTCGAAGGCCATAGATATGCATATAAATCGCTACAATAGTTTTACCACGTTTCCAGTATTTCGTCAGTATCGGTCTTTACATTACCTTCCTTATCCATCATAGACCACGTTTGAGATTTAAACTCTCTCGTAAGAAGTCTGACCTTTTAAAGTATATCTCTCAGTTCGTTCCGACAAGTCTTCCATTTGTCTGCATATTTGAAAGGTGTAATACGTTAAGGTGGTATGTCACAATGTTAAAATTTATATACTTTTTAGGTACAGTTATCGTCACTATTTCAAAATAAATCTTCAAGTTATGATTATGTACGTAAACTGTAAACTTTCTATTTCAATATCTAGTTAACATTTCCAAAAACTGCAGTATTTTTTTCATAACTGTACTTAAATGAATCCATGTCACAACTTACGTGGTGACGTGCCTAAAAATTGGTATTGTGAAATAATTATTGAACTTAGGTGCAAAATAACTACGTTAAATGATTAACTATCCAAAAACCTTTATTTTAAGCAAATTTTTGTTAACCATACTGCCGTAATTTTAAATTAACTGTACCTAAAGATAAAATTACAATTAAAAGCTGCAAACTAGGGGTTTTTGTTGATGTTACTGTAATAAGTTGGCCTTTTGATAGTGAGAAATTAGTTCAGCTACCACTTAACAGATGAAAAAATAAGTTCACGTGTCATTTAATAGAAGGCAGCAGTGATGTATTAAATAGCGATAGATGCGCGTTTGTCGAATTTAAGAAAAATTTGCAAAACATTGAAAACTAGTTTTGTGGTTATTCCAATTGTCTATGAGTTATGCAGTAACCATAGTAACGAATCACGTGGTTTTGTTAGCAAGGCGGCCCCTCCCAGTAGTTAATATTGTGGCTTCGTTTGACTTTCTATGTTCAATCATGATTGTATATACCATTTTTTTCCTTGGCACCCTGACGTTATTATAATCGTGGTTGAAAGTCAAACTATGGTCAGTAAAGTTTATTGCGGGATTATACTGGTTTCTACATAAACATAAAAACAATTCGTTTTATTAAATTTTTAACAAATTTAATTTTCATAGACAAAACAATATTATGTAATGATCGATTAAATTTTGTAGATTAATTATTTCCGGAAGAAAATATGATTATTAATATTTACGTGAATATTTACTTGGGTCATAATTAGAAATGAGATGAAAATCTGAAATTTTCTGAGGAAAACACTTCCCCTGTTGACATTCGATATGAAAAAATTGTTATTACCTATATATAATATAATATTATAATAATTATTAAAATATATTATTAATAATTAATGTTATATACATATTTTAGATTCTTATAAATACTGTTTTTATACATAAATAGTCGATCCAATTACCATAATCCCTTTTTGATCATTATTTAGCTGTTTTTCAAACAATTGCAAATTTCTTTTCAGTTTGGAA